TGACGGTTTGTGTTCCCCGCCGGTGGCTGATAGCTGACTGCCCACGCCCCCGGTGCGAGCGATACCCGCCAGCCATCATCCGCGGGCGGGCGGCCGCAGCTGCGCCGGGCCTGCGTGATCAGCTGCAGCCATACAGGGCGTCCGTCCGTCCGTCCCCAGGCCCGTTCGTCCGGCGGCGGGCCGATCGATGACCATTACTCTGCTCCGTCAGCGGCGGCGGCGGCTCGAGGCGATGACGGACGGCCGCGGCGGCCGCAGACCCGCCGGCCGGCCGCAGACCCGTCGGCCGGCCCTCCCCGCCCCGGCCGCCGACACCGCCCACTGGCCGGGATACCGAGATCGGCCTGAGCGGTGGGCGGGGTCGGCTCGTCCGCGGCCCCCGCCCAGTCCCCTCCAGTAGGCGGTGGGGAGGGCCGAGACAGGGCGACGCACCGGCGGTCGTCGCTGGTGAGCGCTGACCGCCGAGCGGTGCTCCAACTTGTCTACTTACGACGGACGGATGGGCCCTATGGGTCATTGAATTCTGGGCCGAGACGTCTGCGCGGTGGTCTGTTGGATCGGCTGACATCTGCGGGCAGCTGTGCTGTGAATACCGATGGGAAGGCGGATGTTGAGAGGGGAAGATTTCCGTACCCTGAGTTAAGGAACCTGAGTGACCTATCTGTCCTTGGGACGGATCGGCGGGGTGCAGTCCCTTCAGCGAACCTGTGCAGCCGCATGTTGGATGCAGTCCCCCCAGCGGACCTCTGCCGCTGTCTGCGGGCGGCCAGGCCAGACGCCGCCGCCGCCGTCTGTTTGTCTGCGGGACGGCTGGGCTGGCAGCCGGGTCCGGTTGGCTCGTCGCCCGGCGTCGACATTCCTGGCCAGCGCCGTGGCGCGCCCAGTGTGGCGGGTGACCTCACGTCGTCGGCACCGCGGGCGATCGCCCCCGGCCCGACCACGCCCGCGCCGGCCGCCGGCCCGCCAGTGACCTCCGTGACCTCCGCCGGCGGCCGATCGACCCCGCCCGCGCCCCGCACCGCTTCCGGCGGAGCTAGCCCACCCGCCGCCGGCCGCACCCCCCTGCCGACCGGCGGAGCTAGGCCAACCTTCCGCGGCAGGTCTCGGTGCGGCCACCGGCCGGCGTCGAGCCGCGCGGCCGCGGCTTACCGGCGTGCCCTCCTGCGCTGCGCGTGCTGGCGGTCGCGATGCCCGTGCGGAGGAAGCTGCTGGGGCGCTCGCGCACTGGCGAGCTGCCCCTCCCGCGGAAGCTCAGCCGGTCCAAGAGTCTGCGAGAGCATAGCGAGCGGCCGCCGCCCGAGCCCAAGCTGTACAAGTCGCAGCTGATGGTCAAGTTCTCAAAGCCCAGCTTCTCCATCTACCTGGACTACTCGCCGCGTGACAAGTGCTTTCGGGTGGCGTACATCGTGGAGGGTGAGCTGGCGGCGCTTCGTCCGCCGTCCGGTGTCACGTTCCGACCCCCCCCCCCCCTGCCCCTCGTTCCCTCCTGGCCTCAGGAAGTCTGTCAGCTGGTACGGGGGCACCGGCGGCATGGAGGCGTAGTTGTCCAGGCCGGGGTCCTCTGACGTCACGGTTAGGGGGGTCCTTTGACGTCACGACCGCCAGCTGTCAGGTGCCGCCCGGCACGGCGGCTCGCTATCGACCGTGCCCTTTGATGACCCCCCCCCCCCCATCGTCCCCCTGGCCACGCGTCACCACCTCCTCACGGCGGGTGCTTTTTCGTCTGCTTGGGGGCGTACTCCGTGAGATCGCCCGTGAAAAGTAGCTTCCGAATGGTGGCACCTGACCCATCCTTGGTCACGTGGGGCTGCCGTGGTTTTGTTCGAGTACTGGGTGCGTTGCGTGACCCGGGTTGGTGTAACTGTCATACCCCTGGTCCGGCTGGAGGTCACGTGTTATGTATCCTGGGTCATCGCAGCGAATCCCCTTGGTCCGACTGGTGCCAGCCATTTATTGTCCTGGCCCCCGGGTCTGCGTGGCCAGTCCCCGCTGGTCTTGGTGGAGCATATATAAGTATTAACCGATCACTTCTTCGACAGCTACTGACATTGTGGCTTGGATGCTGTGATTGAAAGCCGGTATTCTTGGTGGCTCAGTGATTCGACATCAATCACAATCCGGGCCGTGCGACGACGGTATGAGAACCGCCGTGGAATCACGAGACAGAGCATGAGCAGACAGGGATGGGACGCCTCCCGATGATGCATATTGAGCATTTGGCGACCGCCGTAACGTGGAGAAGACGGCACGGCGCCGCGCGTGCTCCCAGTTCTTCTTTGCATCCTGCCCGAAACTCTTAATCCACCACCTGTAAAGACAGCCGCCGATTCTTGGTTGCCTCCAAGGGGCAAAAGCCAAGGCCTGAAAAGCCGGCATGTGTGCAGCCGGGCCAGTTTGCTTGGCCAAACCAACTCTCGGCGACCGTTGGCTTGACCGTAGCGGGCAGCCCGGCAGCGTCAGACGCGGGGGAGACTCTCCGCCCTCGCTCGTCGGTAGTCGGCAGCCTGGCAGCGTCAGATACGGGGAGACCCTCAGCCCTCGCTCGACCGTAGTCGGCAGCCTGGCAGCGTCAGATACGGGGAGACCGTCAGCCCTCGCTCGACCGTAGTCGGCAGCCTGGCAGCGTCAGACGCGGGGGAGACGCTCAGCCCTCGCTCGACCGGAGTCGGCAGCCTGGCAGCGTCAGACACGGGGGAGACGCTCAGCCCTCACTCGTCGGTAGTCGGCAGCCTGGCAGCGTCAGATACGGGGAGACCCTCAGCCCTCGCTCGACCGTAGCGGGCAGCCTGGTAGCGTCAGACGCGGAGGAGACTCTCCGCCCTCGCTCGACCGTAGTCGGCAGCCTGGCAGCGTCAGACGCGGTGGAGACGCTCAGCCCTCGCTCGTCGGTGGTCGGCAGCGGAGCGTTCCGCCCGTGATCAGCTACCCTGCTCGAGCTCCGCCCGAACTGTCCCTACAGCGCAGCACATCGTCCAAAGCGTGCGGTAACGACGGCAGCATCATGTCGATGATTAGAACGGCACTCTCCGTTGTGGGGCCACGCGGTCTTCATGCGAACAGTTGCGCCACGAATTGCGGGCTGCCCCCCGCCCGGCAAGCTGCGACGGGCGTGCCCCGTCGCCAGGGTGGTCATGTTTGTGATCCTAACAGTGACAGGCCCATGGCAATGCCCCCGTCGTTACGAAGCTTTGCGAACGCGTTGTACGTTCACAACTCATGTAATGTGTAACAAATCAACACGTGTTATGTCCCGAACAGTGCGGCTTCCGCCTCGGCCTCTCCCCAGAGGCGGCCCTGCGTGATGTTCTCATCCACGCTGCCATCAGCATGGGTAATGGTCACGTGACCCCGCTGGTCACAGCGGCCACCTCTGGGGCTTTTGACAGCGTCGAACACGGCCATCTGCCGGTGAAGCTGGGGTGGTGTGGGATCTACGGCGAGTGGTTTTGTGTACGGTTCAACGGACGAGCCCTAGTGACCACGGCGGCTACAGCGCTCACTCTGCCTCACACGGCCGGGCGCAGGGATTATCCGGGGTCCGGTACCATTCCGTCTGGTTACATGTGGTATGCTGCAACATATACCGCGTGGTGAGATCGTTAGGTGCGAGAACGACGCTCATTTTCTTGACACTGACCTAGCAGTAAACTTTTATGGACTTAAAACAGTTTGTCTCCACTCTGGTCCCCAGAACTCACTCAAGTGGTTTTCTCAGAACCATTAAAAACACAAAGCCATCAAGAAGTGGAATAATTAGTTCTAACCACGGCGCCAAAACACAACTTCATATTGTTCTGTGCTTTTCAGATACTCTGAAATCACCCCAGTTCAGTCGGTCGGGGTGCTGGGTGTCACCGTCCATGGGGCCGTGATGTTGGACAAATGCCTACGAAGGCGTCATGCGGCAATGTTTCTGTACATGGATCGCACTGGTCAGAATACGGCACCCTACGCCCGCTGGAAACCAGGCAGATGCTGGCGGGGCGTTAGCGTGTCGCCACAGAAAATATCGCATAATTGTCCTGGGATGTTGCACGATTATACACCTGAGGTGACTGCAGACATGCATAAACGGTACCCACACTGTCGCGGTCCTCGGAGACCGTGGTAAAGCGACCGAGACGGACCAAACTCAACTGGCTGCGGGTGGACCGAGCTCAACTGGCTGCGGGTGGAGGAGCCGCCCATGTACGGACCATGCAGCCCCTCCGGTGTGTCCCGCCGTTGCACAGGGGCAGCCGTCGACCGCCAGCCCCACAATCCACGCATGCGGACAGAGTTTGACAACGGCGCTCATTTCTGAGTCGTGCAACGCAAGCTCGGAATGGGTTGTTCGCGAATGGGAGATGTTGCCCTGGCTTGGATGTTCACCTGTTGGGATGTTCACATGGATGTTCTTGAGACCAGACTTACAGAAAACCGACAATATTTGTGTGATGACTGCAGCGTGTTCTGACCGGTTTCGTTTTCTTAGGGTTTGCTGTATTTGTGTGTCGCGTACTATTATCTGTCACTGACGTGAAACGCTGGAAAAAATGTGGGACGTTCCCGAAATATATGACTGATTGATTGATTACTGAACGGGTCGACTGATTGCTGGTTCGGTTGATTGATCGATTTATTGATGGATTGATTGATTCTGTGATCCAGTTGTGTCTGGTGTCTTTTCTGGTGTCTATGCATTTGTTATCTTGTGTCTCGTGTTTTTGTGCCGGATCAATGCCGCTCGTGGTTGCCAGCAGACGGCTGTAGCTCCTAATTGCATATTTATGTCAGAAGTGGCCAGTCCTCTTTTTTGCGAGCATTAAACGTAATGTTTAAGTTGATCCATGAGTTATGTTTCCTGAAAGAAGATCTGCACAAGTTGTTGTGTCCGTACGCCTTTATTCAGGAAGGTTGTTTGGACAGTTTGGGCAGAAATGGTGGTCATTAGTACGTATTGCGTATTCATCTGATCTGCCGCTCTAACGCTCCGTAACCTACGGCCCCTGTATTCGCAGACTGCAGCTACACGTGTCACCAGCGGTGTAGAGATGTCGTTACCCTGGACTGCCCTTCGGACACGTCCAGCGACCTGGACCTGTCGGAGGTCACTGATCCCAACCAGGACGAGGATCTGATCGAAGTGCAGACTTTAGTGGTAAGCCCGGCCGAGCTGCCACGCACCAGGAGCGCCGCCGGTCCGGACACGGCGGAATGTCGGAGCGCCGCCGTGTCCGGACACGGCGGAATGTCAGAGCGCCGCCGGTCCGGACACGGCGGAATGTCAGAGCGCCGCCGGCCCGGACACGGCGGAATGTGAGAGCGCCAGGCATGGTGACAGTAGTTGGATAACTGCTCGCTTCATTTAAAAGGTTTTTTTGTGTTCATTCTGTTCTCACATTGTTTATTTGGTTCCGTTTTTCGCTCTTGATATTGTCCATTTGCCGGTGAAATGACGGGGCCTACCGAAAATTGTTCATGAGATGCACACGTACAAAGTCCAGACATCTCCTGCTGGTTCGTACGACATCCGTTTGCCTGATAGCTGTTCAGTCCTCTGCAAAGTTTGGCCTGCATGTGGGCAAGTGACGGGCTGGTCGGTATCGATAGACCATTCGAACCCCGCTCACCCTTTGTTTGGGCATAGCCTTTCGAGTCTCCATGGGTGATTCTCTCAACGATCCTCAATGAAAGTGGTGAGTGGCGGGGAAATGTATGTTTCCACAAATATTAGAAGAGGCTGTGAATTTCTATAGATATGTGTCGTAAAATAATTTTTCGGCGAGCGGAATCCCTTTCTAATGCTGAAGGTGGCTTCTGCCCGCGCTCGTCGTCACGTGCGATCAAAGGGCCCTCGCCGCCACGAGGAAGAGCCAGGAGAAAAGCGGCATCGGAAATCTCCCGCCGAAGCGCATCAGACAAGTACATCTGAGCAATGGGAAATGTGAACTCTGACGGTTCAATGCATCTGACAATGTCTTATTGCAACGTTAGCGACCGCCCTGTTATCTGAAGAGCTAAGCATGCTACGACAGCGTAGCATGCTGCAGAATGCGGAATGCCGAAAATGCTATGGCGGCGCTGAATGGCTCTTGGGAAACTCGGTCGAATATGTACTAGACATCATGTGCACATGGGCACATGTGCACTGGACATCGGCAGATGTGACATGTGCTTTGTCATGCGAGGTCAAAGTGGTGAAGGCTATTGTTATCATGGCCCGCCCTGAACTAAACAAGCCACGTCCAGGCGGAATACAGTGTTGGAAAGGTTTTCCCAAGTTGTGAGTTATGTTCCATTAAATTTAGATAAGCGCTGTTTTTTTCATTTTTGAAGAAAATGTCACCGACATGACACCGAGAATCAGGACAGAAATCACAAACCGGTAGGGTCACAAATTCCTCATTTCACGTCACGTGTAAAAATGATGAAAACTGAAGTGCTCTAAATTTGACTAGCGTTTGTAAAAACGTCAGAACTTATTTCGTAAACGACCTCAGAGGCGGGGATCTACGGCTCGCTCGTAGAGCGAGGTTGAACGAATATCCTACGGTATAAAATGCAGTAATCACGCGACGCGCAACATCCCGTTGTCAAAACATTCCGTAGTGTGCTGAGCCACCAGCGTGTGGCGAGAAGTTCCTGAGCCACCTCCAGGGAACACGACGTCGTGGTCCCTCGCCCCTCCTCAAATTGCTCATCAGCGCCGCACGTATACGCTCCCGCCGCCGGATTTCCATGCTGGCCTCGCCGTGCGGCCGTTGAGTCTCGTTTAGCGCCGTGTCGGACTGCTAAGGCCGGGCCATTACGTATTCAGGGCCGGCCCGACTGGCATTGGGCTAACTCGGCGCCGACTTCATTTGTCCTCTAATGCCACCGTAATTGTGGTCGGCGGCCGGATAGCCCCGACCGTCCGGAATGTGTGTGTGTGGGTGTGGGTGTGGGTGTGGGTGTGGGTGGGTGCGTGCGTGCGTGCGTGCGTGCGTGCGTGCGTGTGGATGGCCTGTGTGTGTGTGTGTGTGTGTGTGTGTGTGTGTGTGTGTGTGTGTGTGTGTTGTGTGTGTGCGTGCGTGCGTGCGTGCGTGCGTGCGTGCGTGCGTGCGTGCGTGCGTGCGTGCGTGCGTGTGGATGGCCGTATTTGCGTATTGGGCGTCGGGGCTTTCTGCGTCTTGCCAACAGCGAATGCTTATCGTCCACGTGGGTATGCAGTGATCGGTGCTACGGCTTCTCGTATGGGGGGGGGGGGGGATTTGGCGGTCCGTTCCTCTTTTTCCGGCGGTGGATTTTCTCGGAGGTGCGACTGCGAATTGATGATTCGGGCCGGTTGGCCGTCGGCCTAGTTGGCGGCGCCGCGGCGACCGTCGGGTGGCGCCGGTCGTCTCTGCTGACGCGGACCGGCGCCGTCGACAGGCCGGGGTCGGGCACAGTCTGGACGGGGCCTGCTGCCGGGCGGCGCCGGTCGTCTCTGCTGACGCGGACCGGCGCCGTCGACAGGCCGGGGTCGGGCACAGTCTGGACAGGGCCGGCTGCCGGGCGGCGCCGGTCGTCTCTGCTGACGCGGACCGGCGCCGTTGACAGGCCGGGGTCGGGCGCAGTCTGGACGTGGCCGGCTGCCGGGCGGCGCCGGTCATCTCTGCTGACGCGGACCGGCGCCGTCGACAGGCCGGGGTCGGGCACAGTCTGGACGGGGCCGGCTGCCGGGCGGCGCCGGTCGTCTCTGCTGACGCGGACCGGCGCCGTTGACAGGCCGGGGTCGGGCGCAGTCTGGACGGGGCCGGCTGCCGGGCGGCGCCGGTCGTCTGTGCTGACTAGGACCGGCGCCGTCGACAGGCCGGGGTCGAGCGCAGTCTGGACAGGGCCGGTCGCCAGGCGGCGCCGCGTCTGTTCACTGTCCTAGGCGGACCGGGCGAGGATAGGTCTGCGGCCGTCACCGTCGTTGCGGCGCCTTATCATGTGGCGTCATGGTCACCCGACGTGACGGACCTATTGGGACTGTAATGGTGGCTGATCTGCTGGGACGTGGCTTCCCCGACGTATGCCTTATGGCCGTGGCGTTACTCGACCTTGCGCTGGTTGTGCTACGGTCGCCCCCGACCTTGATTGCGCCCCGACGTGATCATGAGTTAGTGTGATTGCGGCCTAATGTTATCGCGCCGGACGTCAGCCATATCGCCACATGAGTGTCTCCTGGTTACGGATACGAACGTGACCGGATTATACCGTGACCGTAATGGTGGCCTGAAGTGACGAGCCGGTCACATGCATGGCCCAGCGCGCCGTGCCTGGCGGGAGCCGCCGGTCGCCTGGCCGCCGGTCCTGCGCTCCGGCGCCTGGCCGGAGGCGGGGACGGGGCCACCGCTCAATGGTCTGCTCATTAGGGCGGGCCCGGCCTGGCGGGAGGCGGTCGTCCTCGTGACGAGCTGTCTGGAGCAGGTGGTGGCGGCGGCAGCCGGGTAGTTCGTCTCCCGCCTCATTCTGGCGGTGCAGGGCTGGGCAGCCTGCCGTCGGCGAGACAGGCCTGGTGTGAGACCGCTGCAGACGTCACTTGTCTCGTCCTGTAGGACTGCGGCAGACGTCAGATTCCCGGTCCTGTTAGACTGCGGCAGACGTCAGATTCCCGGTCCTGTTAGACTGCGGTAGATGTCAGTTTCCCGACGCTGTGAGACTGCGGCAGACGGCTCTCGATGCTGTGAAACTGCGGCAGACGGCGGCTCTCGATGCTGTGAGACTGCGGTAGACGGCTCCCGGTCCTATGAGACTGCGGCAGACGGCTCTCGATGCCGTGAGACTGCGGCAGACGGCTCTCGATGCTGTGAGACTGCGGCAGACGGCTCTCGATGCTGTGAGACCGCGGCAGACGGCTCTCGATGCTGTAAGACTGCGGCAGACGGCTTTCGATGCTGTGAGACTGCGGTAGACGGCTCCTGGTCCTGTGGGACTGCGGCAGACGGCTCCCGATGCTATGAGACTGCGGTAGACGGCTCTCGATGCTGTGAGACTGCGGTAGACGTCTCCCGGTCCTGTGGGACTGCGGCAGACGGCTCCCAATGCTGTGAGACTGCGGTGGACGGCTGTCGATGCTGTGTGACTGCGGCATATGGCTCTCGGTTCTGTGAGACCACCACAGACGTCAGTTGCCCGGTCCTGTGAGACTGCGGCAGACGGCTCCCGATGCTGTGAGACTGCGGCGGACGGCTCTCGGTCCTGTGAGACCACCACAGATTTCAGTTGCCCGGTCCTGTGAGACTGCGGCAGACGACTCCCGATGCTGCGAGACTGCGGCAAGCGGCTCCTGGTCCTGTGAGACTGGGGCAGGCGGCTCCTGGTCCTGTGAGACTGCGGCAGACGGCTCTCGATGCTGTGTGACTGCGGCAGACAGCTCTCGGTCCTGTGAGACCACCACAGACGTCAGTTGCCCGGTCCTGTGAGACTGCGGCAGACGGCTCCCAATGCTGTAAGACTGCGGCAAGCGGCCCTTGGTCCGGTGAGACTGCGGCAGAGGTTGGGTCCCACTCTCCTAGCCATTAGACCACTGAGCCCCACGTGCCGGTGGGCCGGCTTTGTGTGCGGCCGTTGGACCCGCGTGCGTCGGCGCGCGTCGGACCGAACCGACGCCGCCCTGATCCGGGATGGCAAGTGAGCGCGCGTGCTGGCGCGTGCCAGTGGTGGGTGGCTCCCAGAAGCCCGCCCTGTCCGCCGCCCACCGGCCAGACAAGGCAGCCGTGCTGGACACAAAGTCGCCCTCCGGGATCAATACTCGGCGCGTTGGGATGGTATTTTTCGGGTAGGAACGGGTGCGGCTGCCGGTGGCGCGGCCTCCGACGCTGCCTGCAGCAGTGTGGAATGAAAAATGCAACGGGAAAATGCCGAACCTGTCCTCTGGGACCGCGGCAGGCGGCGTTCAGCAGCTCGCCCACGTCACATCACGCTGCTCGTCTCTGGGAGAAGTTGACGTGCGCTGTCGCGCTGCGAAGCTCTGATTGCGACATTGGACCGGTCTCCCTCCACTATTGGCCATATGTCTCGGTGATTTGGTCTCTTTGTTCCTGCGCTTCTCCGCGCGCCACGCCCCGCGCGCCCTCGATGTTGCGTGGACCAAGCTGAACGGGCGGGCCGTCTCCGAGCGACGGGCGTCGTCCGCGCACGCGGCAGTCGTAACTCCGTGCGCCTCGCGTCCCGGCCGGCCCGCCCGTCATAAGATGGCGCTCGATGTCTCAACTTGAGAGGATGTCCCCTGGAATTGTGTTCCATCAGATGCGTCTCGCAGTTATGCCCCGCAATAACGGCGCGTTTGGGCCTAAACAGGGAATCTCTGGTGGGGAGCGGCGTTTAGGCTGGAGGGACGGCAGCGGATCGAGCCACTGGCTGCAGAATGGAGCACTTTGACACGAAATGAGCTGCCGTGGGCGTCTTGGCAAGATCGATGGCGCTGTACGAATGAGATGCTCTCACTCTCACCACGTATGCATTCGGCCAACTTCGTTTATGCCTTCTTTCCTCGAGTGAAACCAAACTTGATCATCGCCAGACACTTGCCGTGGGCATGAGATAACTCACTTGGCTCTGCGGGCCTTATTTCATCACCCAACGGAGTCAGCCTTGCATTAGAGCACGCTCCCAGGAAAAGACGCCGCTGTCTGCCTGCCACCGCCGGGGCCGGGCAGCTTCTGCCAGTGCCAGCTCCCTCGCCCCGTCTGCAATGAAAGCGGAATCGCAGATGATCACGGCCTAGTTCCCCGTGTGGAGTCCCAATCATTCCTCTCGGCGAGAGACGGTGCTGTGGCGTGACTTCGACGTCCAGCATAAACGTACCCATCCACGGCGTCAGGGCTCCACGGAATATGATCCGCAGAATATGTTATTCACTCAGCCATGCGGCCCGCGTGGAGGACCGGGACCGACCGGGAACAGCACCTAGCGCTCGCATGAGCCCGTCGCGTTCGTCCCTGACGCCGCCCGGCGCGTGCGCTGGTGGCGGGCGGCACAGCGGTGCACGCGTGTCTCCGTCGGGCCGCGGGCCTGCTGCCCCACTGACCGACTCCTCCGTTGCAGCGATGCGACAGCGCCGCCGTGGCCGAGGTGCGAGGCACGGACGCCGCCATCAAGGCCGGCATGATCGAGAAGTTCAACGCCACGTCGCAGGGGCTCTACATGACTCTGGTACGTGCTCGGTGTGTGGCCTGCGGCCGTCTGCGCGTTCCGCTCTCGGTCGTGTCAGTCGAGCTGGTCGTGAAGGATGCGCAGCACGGGTCGGCAAAGTGAGCCGACGCAACGACGCTGGAGCCTGGTCCTGGTCGATCTCCGACGGTCGCGCCCTCGCCGCGCCGTCACCCGCGAATCCCGCACCAGCAGCGTCCGGACGGCGGCGCTGCGTGCCGCCGGCGCCGGAACGCCCCGCCGCGGGGGGCCGGATGCGGATGCGGCGGCCGCCCAGGCTTCCGCAGCCGTCTCCGCTGGTCATTCGGCCTCGCGGCGTGGTCCGTACCGCCTGCCGTGTACCGCCCGAGGGTGACCCGTGGCTGAGGTCGTCGCCGGTCCGCGTCTCCGACGCTTGCAGGGCGCGCCCGCTGCCTGGACCCGTGCCCGTCCTGGACCCGTGCCCGTGCCCGTGCCCGTGCCCGTGCCCGCTGCCTGGACCCGTGCAGTGCTCTGAGACGCCTGCCGACCGTCCCCCGCCCGCTCCTGTCCCCGCCCTGTCCCCGCCCCGCGGTGTGTGAAGCGGCCAGCCTGTCCCGTTCCGCGATGGAGGACGAGGAGCAGCGGCGGGCGCGCCAGGCCAGCCAGCGGCGCCGCAAGTCGGAGCGCGAGCGGCGCCTCTCCATCGTCTCCATCAACGACGACGGTTCCGAAGACCTGGTGGTGCGCGACATCGAGTGGGTACGTTCGCTGCGGAGTCCGCCGCGGAGTCGCCGACTGGGACGGCGAACGGACCGCGGTCGCGCGGCCCGCCGCAGTCCGCTGCCTGGCGGGGCGACGGTCGCCGCCGCCGCCGTCTGTCCGGCTCGCCGCATCTCCTGCCGTCGGGCGCTGACGGCGGGCGCTCTCGTCCCCGCCCACTGTCCGCGTGGCGACGGTGACTGCGGTGCCGTCCGGGTGGGCCGGGGCGAGCGCGGACGCCGGGCGCTGCCGTCCCGCGCCGCTCCCCCGGGGCCTGATGGCTGCCTTCGGCCGTCGCCGCCGCCGCTCTCTGGGACCAACTTGGACGGGAGAGCGTCGCTGTTTGGACGGCGGCACCAAGTTGAGTCGTTGGGAGTGAGATACGACTGTGAGGAAGGAAGCGGAACTCCCCCTCCCCACTTCTCCCCTGGGGAGGGGAGGGGGCGGGCGAGAGCGAGCCTGGCATGCGTCCCTCGGGCAGGCAGCACGGTGTCCGGACCGGCCGGTGCTGTCCCTCTCTCCCCTCCGCTCCACAGTGTGGGCCGTCCGTCCGCGGCTGACGGCTGTCGCGGCCTCGGCGGACCTGGCCGAATGACGGCCACTCAGAGGCGCATCGAACGGGCGTCAGTCCCGTGGGAGCGGCGCCCCCGATGGCGGCCCGCCCGCCGCGGGAGCGTCGGCCTCCGACGGGGCAGGCGCGCCGAGCCGTTTGGCACGTGGTCTCAGGGTGTTTCTCTGCCAGCTTCTCCGTAGCTTTTTCCGTGATTTGCTTACCGTTCGGATGCCTCCCGCCAAGCCAATCAATTTATGAGTTGCTACGGGACGCCTCTACTGATATCAGTGAATTGCATGGCGTGCTGCGTTTTTTGGCGTTATGGCCCAGCTATTTTGGTATCATGCAATTCGATTTGCTTTGTATGTTGGAATGTTCCGCGAAGCATTTTCACATGTGCACAGAGTCTGCTTCCAGTCCCCGAGCACATGTTTTACTAGTTTCAGCGTCGGTTTATGGCTACGCTCTGCCTTGACCTCGGCTTGAGATTATTTGCATAGCCTCAATACGGTTCCAGCGCATGCAGTTCCATCAAATTCCGTTTACGACGTACGTGATGCTTTCGCGCAGTGCCCACGCTGCGCCGTTTCGCTGGCCCGTTGGTAGCATTGGCGTGGCGTCGGCCGGTCCAGCCACGGCAGCGGCCTGTCGTCGGCGTCGTCGCCAGGTTGCCCCCGTACCGGAGGAGTTACTGGGACGCTGCCGCCCTAAGCCGAGGTCGTTCGCGCGGCGCCGGCGGCGTCACCGGGAAGGGGACGCGGCGGCAGTGGGCGGGTGCGGGGGCCGGACAGCGGGGGCGCCCGCCGCCGGACGCGGTGGCTGTACGTGACCCGAGACCCGGGAGCCGGCGGACGGCGGTGGCTTTACGTGACCCGGGACCCGGGAGCGGGCGGCCGGCGGTGGCGACGCGCGGCCATTGATTTGGGCCCGCGGGCCATGTTTGTATCAGCGGCTACCGGAGCGGCGGCGGCCGCGTGCATAATTCAGCGGCCGAGTGGCATCGATTGTCGCCGGCCGGCCGGGCGAGGTCAGCTGATGTCACGCCCCTCCCCTTCCCGTGATGACGCCCGGCTGACCTCCGGCCGCGCCGTCAGCTGACGCGCCTCGCAGCCTTCCGCCGGCCGAGCTGCCAGCGGCGCTCGCCGACGCCCTCAGTGGGAGAGATACCTGTTGCCGGCGCTGGGCAGCCACTCCGCCGCACCATCGGCTGGGGATCGGCGCCCGCCGGCCTCCTCCCCGCCGCCATGATCTGGCTGTGCCGGCCGGACGACGTGTTAAGCTAGCTCCGTGAAGGCTGGGTCCGGCGCGCACGCAGACGTTGGCGCTCGCGGAGCCGCTCAGAGTCGATTTACGGGCGGCGCGGCGCGGCTCGGGGGGTTTTATTGGTGCGTTGTATCCGGAAGATCCGCCGGGCGGCCGTTTCGTTGTGAGGAGCGCCGCGCGGTCGGGAGTTTGTGATCCGAGTGGGGAACGGCTGCAGCGCCAGGACCTACGCACTGCGTGAGCCGCTTAAGCCTGCGCTCCCCCCCCCCCCCCCCTCCACCGTTGAGCCGGGCTTACCGCGCGTCTCTAAGCAAAGTTTAGTGGGCTCCGGTCGCCCAGGCTAAGAGCACAGCGGGGAGCGAGGTTTGTTGCGCAGCGGGCAGGGAGGTTTGTGGTACAGGGGGCGGGGCGGGGCATGGATAAGTGCGCATTGCGGAGCGGGGCGGGGCGTGCTGTGTGGGTGCGGACCGGGATCACGTTCAGTGGGGTGTAGCGCGTGGGTGCGGACCGGGGTCACGTTCAGTGGGGTGTAGCGCGTGGGTGCGGACCGGGATCACCTTCAGTGGGGTGTAGCGCGTGGGTGCGGACCGGGGTCACATTCAGTGGGGTGTGGCGCGTGGGTGCCGACCGGGGTCGCGTTCAGTGGGGTGTAGCGCGTGGGTGCGGACCGGGGTCACGTTCGGTGGGGTGTAGCGCGCGGGTGCGGACCGGGATCACCTTCAGTAGGGTGTAGCGCGTGGGTGCGGACCGGGATCACGTTCAGTGGGGTGTGGCACGTGGCGCCGGCGTTCGTAACGGTCGAACGGTTCGTAGCGCCGTAACGTTTGCCCAGTAACGAACTAGGCCAGACCTCCAACGCAGAGTCGGCCTGGTCGTGAGTAAGAACCTGGCCGGGGCTTACATTGGGGCGGGTGAGGCCTCTAACGCAGGGCGAGGTTCAGCCCTTGCGAGCAGCCGGGTTGGCCGGTCAGCGGTGGCGAGCTCCAGCGCGGACCGCGCGGCGGCGCTGGGGACGGCGCCACAGTCGGCGGGGGCGCCGGAAGGAGGCCGATAGCGGCCGTTGTCTCCGGATGTGAGGACCTCGGCCGCATCTCCGCGGCGGCGGCCAGGGGGAGGTGGCGGGGGTGGGAGGCCGCCGCTGTGTTGTGCTGTAACGACGCTAGTGCCGAGTTGGATATGGGCCAGCAGTGGCCGGATGGCCAGATGTGACTGTGCCGTTGTGTGCCCTTGCCGGCTAATGTCACCGTTGCTGCAGGCGCCGTGTCATAACTCTCGTTTGAAAATCACGGCGATGAACTTGTTTTCTCGCGGAAGTCCGATTTCCGTGCGACGAAATGGTGCCAGGCAAGATGGGCCGTGGAAAAGTTCAAAATAGCGAAGTATTTTATGTTGAGCTGTCACATATCAAATGCTTTATGGCGCGTGATAAATACTCCTGGCGGCGACTCCCCCATAAGCGCGCGGCCATGCGTGAATTCATCTGGATTGGCCCATGTTCCGAGTCGTAAAGATCGAACGCAGTCATCGTCAGCGTCCCTAACGAAGCCGCACCGTCGCCGCGCCGTGCGGTGCAGTGTCAGGGCAGGCGCGCCCGTGCCGCGGCGGTCGTACTGACCCTCAGCCGCCCTTCCAGTCCGACGACGGCACCTCCTTCCACGGCTTCGTCCGCGTGCACATGAACCTGTTCCGGCCGATCAATATCGTGGCCGGCACGCGGCCGCCGTCCATCTACGACGTGCTGCAGCCGGAGCAGACGCTGGAGCGCACGCTGGCCTCGTTCTACCTGCCGCGCGACACCGTCAAAGCTCTGCACATTGACAAGTGAGTGGCGGCCGCCCGGCTGCGGCGGCGGCCGTCTCCCGCGCGCACTGCCGGCCGCCGCAGCGTGTATTTCCGGGCCCGATCAATGGCATGGCATGCTTGTTATCGGCGCCGTCTCCTGGCTGCTGGCGCCGCGGCGCCCGAGGTGCTGGGTCAGCAGCGCCGCGGCTGGGGCGACGCCGGTCTGTCACGCCGGCGCCGGGGAAGGGTGTGAGGCTCCCGGGGCAGAGGACGGCCGGGTGCCGGCTGGTGGGTGGGGCGCACGTGACGGCACCTGATGGAGAGGAAGGCTGGGTGACTGATGGACGGTCACGTAGGCATGTCGGATATTCATGATGCGTTTGGTATGCATTTTTTCATGTAGAACGGGTCGTACCATTGTTTTTGTGAAATGACTTGGCAGGTTACTTCCAGGAATGACATTGCTTTCAGAGTGCGCAATAAGCACGATGTGCTAATGATACTCAGAATACCCCACCATCCGTCCAGTGTCAGTGCGTCTAATAACACGGATAATAGCGTATCCGGCCTTCTTGAAAAGGCAGAATCGCAAGACTCTGTTCATGCCGGAGAACACCACAGCACGAGCGTCACATGTGTTCATGCCGGAGAACACCACAGCACGAGCGTCACATGTGTTCATGCCAGAGAACACCGCAGCACGAGCGCCACATGTGTTCATGCCGGAGAACATCACAGCACGAGCGTCACGTGTGTTCATACCGGAGAACACCACAGCACGAGCGTCACGTGTGTTCATACTGGAGAACACCACAGCACGAGCGTCACGTGTGTTCATACCGGAGAACACCACAGCACGAGCGTCACATGTGCTCATACCGGAGAACACCACAGCACGAGCGTCACGTGTCAGGCCCATGCGGCCAGACCGGGCCATATGGTTTGAAGGCGGATGTTGACCCCGCCGAGTCTCCCTTCCAGCGACACCACTGTGCATGAAGTCATATCGTCACTATTGAAGAAGTTCAAAATCGTGGACGACCCCCGGAAGTTCGCCCTGTATGAACGGTTCACCGAGCAGGGCGAGTCGACCAAAGGTACGACATCAGCAGCCGGATACGAGGGGCACCTCAGCGTGGTCGCGTTGTGTGAGGGCTGGCCTCCCGCTGGTCAGTGTGCTCCGATAAGGTGCGGCGATGTTTCGGTGTGGTGCCTCGTGCATGTGGTGTGTTGATTCAGTTCCTTGTAATCCCGTTGTGACAGCGGCAGCCATGCTGGTGTCATGTTTCGTCCGTTTCTCCTCCATTTAAGACACGATTTGTGTTGCCTGATGTGTGTGTACACCATCCACAACGACCGATGTGGCATCAGCTATTGCTCGGCGCCAGGTAGCGAGCGGCTGAAAGGAAACAGCGCCCTCCCGCCGCCGCCGCGCCACCCCTGACTCCGCCCCTGGCTAGCGGTGCCTTTAGCGGCTAGCGGCGCGTCCGCGACCGGGCCGCCGCGTGCCCCTGTTACTGACGGTGGCCGCCGGCCCGTCCCCAGTCAAGATGCGCCGCCTGGCCGACTCGGAGCGCCCCCTGGAGCTGGCGCTCACCTGGAGCCACAACGGCGTCGTCAACAAGAAGTTCGTGCTGCAGGAGAACGACACGGGCGACATCCTGGTGCGTATCGTCGGAGCGCACGCGCCGGCCGCTGGTCCGTGATGACTCGCAGGAATGCTGAGCCGTCGCGCCGAAACTCGCGGCTGTTGAACGTTAATGGCGCCTGGACGTGATGTATCGGGCAGCCTCTACCCCGGGGCCCCACAGTGGTGGACCGGACAGCCTCTACCCAGGGACCCACCGCGGCTGGGCCCGGCGAGTGACGACCGGTGTCAGTGTATTACAAGAATTGGCCACTGAATGGGGTATATTAGATTATGCCGTATATTCTGATGAGCCGTGGTGTGATTTTAAAAATGTCGAGATTTTGTGAGGGGAAAAAGCGTTGGTCTATGGTCATGCCACCATCCAAATGGCATGGAACTAAGCCGTGTTATTGTACGCGATTCCAGTGGGACAACTTCACGCTCCCGGAGCTGAACAACTTCCTGTTGATGCTCAACAAGGAGGAGGACGAGTACAAGCGGCGGGTGCGGCAGAAGTACGCCGAGATGAAGCGACGCATCGACGAGCAGATGGAGCAGCTGAAGCGGGGCGTCCCGAATCACGTGCCCGACAGCACATAGGTGCCATCTGCCCCGATCTAGCTACTGTCGGCGCTGGTGCGCTCGAGGCCGGCCGGTAAGGGCGGATCTCCAGGCTGGCAGCCGAGCGGGCGGCGCCGGGCCGCCGCGCCCCGGCCCGCGGAGGCCGCGCGCCGAGTACCTCTGTTGTAGCGATAGGCCTTACCCTGTGCCTGCCCCGTCCGTGCCGCGGCCACCTCTCGCGTATAAACACGTCTTTCACACGCGTTCGCGTCGGCGCAGCGCCTGTTGTACCTCATGTCTCGCGGCGGCTGGCCGCGGTGGCGTGGAGGAAGTGTTCCTTCTCCCCAGCGCGGGCTTTGGCCGACCCTGTGCGGGAGGGCGCACCGGCGGCCACCAGGGTCGTCCTTCAGCGCGGGCGCCGCCGTCCTGGCCTCCGCCGCGGCGCGCCCGTCTGTCTGTCTGTTACATTGTTAACGGCGGGGCGCTGTGTAACGCGCCGGCGCCCCCGGCCGGCCGCTCCTGGCGGCTCAGCTCCGGCTCCGGCTCCAGGGCGACATAGTGATACAATACATGTGATTTGTAGAGGCGTCGTGTGTAGTGGCGGCAGAGCTGTGCCGGTCCGTGAGCGGAGGTAGCGGCGACCTGGGCGCCGACCCCACATGAAGTTGTGTGGCCCGCGGTGTGCGCCATAAGAGCATTCAGCAGGGCGTCCGGGATCATCCAGCTAAGACACACGGATGCTACAAAAGAGTATGTATATTGCTGAAAACCACCAACATACCAGCTTAGCTCCAACATATGGCAAGTCATCACAATCAGGTCCCAGGCGAATTTCTGTCGACGACATTCTTCCGGGGCCCTACAAACGGCAGCGACTCCGACACGCAACGAGTCCGGCGGTGGTGAAACAACTCAATCTGACCCTCGAAATGAACGGCCGTCTACTGTGCGGCGGCGGCGGCGGCGGCGCGCCACACGGTAGTGAAGCGGATCATGCGCTCTACGCGCTGCTCGAAGCGGCGCGCCCGCTGGTGCGCGTGCCGGATCAGGTCGGCGGGCAGGCCAGCCAGGCGCGCGGCGTTGAAGCCGTACGACTTGGGGCACGCGCCGTCCGTCAGCTTGTACAGGAACGTGATGGTCTCCTGGGTGGGGTCGTCCTGGTTCTCGTTCTCCACCATGCAGGCCATGTGGCCCAGCCACACCTGGGCCGCGTCGGGACGGGGTCACGCGCTGCACACGACCGGGGTGGGGACGATCGGACACGATCACACAGCAGGCGCAATGTAGGGCACATGCATAGCCATTTCACATGACACTTGTTCATGCAATCAACCAGAGCCTGGCCCGAAGCTGGAAAGTTAGAAATTGGCTGACAGACGGTCCTTTAGCCCTCAGCTTCATGCATCGCAGAATTGACCAGAGATTTGCGAGCGCTACTGCATTCGTCGGTGACATGACCTTGGTCCTAGCATCGTCGATAATTTAGGCGCGGCACAGACGAGGGCACTGCAAAACGTCCTGTTCCAGTGACACACAAGTAGGTCACTACGGGACCATCATGACGGAGTAATAACACGTTGCAGGATCTGACGGACTTGCAACGCTTTTCGACGCAGCCTGTTTCAGCAGGGCACGGTGCCAATTCTATCGGTGCCTGTGACGTCACACCGCACGATAAACCAGACACCGGACGCCGGTAACCCGACTGCGAAGCGCCAACGTCATCAGTGACAGCTGCCAAATCTGTCATAAGTCGAGCGGAGCCGAGGCAAACGATGCAAGCTGAACCGCCACCTTCCCGGCGCCTCAACAGACTGCGTGCAGGCCCACCTGGTCGTGGTCCTGGAACTCCTCCACCAGGCTGTGGTAGTGGGTGGAGAAGAGGCAGCGACAGCCGACGCGCAGCAGCTGGCGAAGCACGGCGGAGGCGATGGCCGAGCCGTCGAATGTGGAGGTGCCGCGGCCTGGCGAGCGGGCGGCGGTCACGGGCCGGCACGGCACGGCACGGCACGGCACGGCACGGTACGGCGAGGCACGGCACGGCACGGCACGGCACGGTACGGCGAGGCACGGCACGGCACGGCACGGCACGGTACGGCACGGCACGGCACGACACCGCGCGGCACGGCACGCCACGACACGGCTAAAACCACCCCATGTCGAACATTGTAGCCAGATGAAACTCGCAAGGTCCCAAACCAAACAGGAGGTTTGCACGTGTTGCATGACATGCTTTATGTCTTATGCTGTTAAGTGGACACCTGCCTTATGATTTCCCTTAACTCTGCACATAACTTACATGCAGGAGCTTGTCCCCCACGTCTCTCCCTCTCCCGCTCCCGCTCCCGCTCCCGCTCCCGCTCCCGCTCCCGCTCCCGCTCCCGCTCCCGCTCCCGCTCCCGCTCCCGCTCCCCCCGCTCCCGCTCCGCTCCGCTCCCGCTCCCGCTCCGCTCCGCTCCCGCTCCCGCTCCCGCTCCCTCGCTCTCGCTCTCTCTCTCTCTCTCCTCTCCTCTCTCTCTCTCTCTCTCTCTCTCTCTCTCTCCTCTCTCTCTCTCCTCTATCTCTCTCTCTCTCTCTCTCTCTCTCTCTCTCTCTCGCTCTCTCGTCCAACAAGCCCATCTCACCCACCGAGCTCGTCCACCAGCACGAGCGAGGCGGCGGTGGCGTGCTGCAGGATGGCGGCCGTCTCGCTCAGCTCCACGTGGAAGGTGGACTCCCCGCTCATGATGCGGTCCTGGGCGCCGAGCCGCGTAAACACGCGGTCCACCGGCGACAGGCGCAGTGACGCCGCCGGCACGTAGCAGCCCTGCCGACAGCGCCCGTCGACGGTGAGACTGGCGGCGGAGTCCGGCGCCGCGGGAGACGGCGGGCTGGTCAGGGGGGCCGTGTCCGAGAGCCGGTCACCAGCGACGGACCGCTGACGCAGAGAGCACGGCCGGCGGGCGTCTGACGAGCGACGGCGACACCTACACACCGCGGGAGCCAGCGACTGCCGAGCGAGCAGCACCCCAGCCAGGGTAGCGCCACCCACCAGCAGTATCGCTGAGTACCGCAGCACTCTGCGAGAAGCGACGGACGGACCGCCGCCGGCGGGGGGCCGGCAGGGAGAGCGCGGAGCAGACGGCAGAGCACGAGGCCGTGCTCAGCCCGGTCGGCACCCTCGCACGGAGCGCGGCTCACCAGCTGCGCCAGGATAACGAGCAGGCCGGCCTGGCGCATCAGCGTCGACTTGCCGCCCATGTTGGGGCCCGTGATGAGCAGCAGCCGGCCGCGCTCCGTGCCGACCGAGTTGGGGATGAAGTCGGCGCCGCCGCCGCCGCGGCCCAGCCACGGGTGGTGGCCGTCCGTGATCTCCAGCACCGCCTGGCGGACACGGGCCGAGACGGTCACCGTCCGCCGGCCAGCCTCTGGCCGTCACGAGTACGACGCCGTCTGCAGACAGGCGACGCGGCGGGGGGGGGGGGGGAACGCCACGCACGCGGCCATGGGCTGCCAACTGTACGGACACAACCATCGCCTCGAGGCCGCCGGGGGAGGTCTCATCGGCCGGAAAACACGGTCGCCTGGCGCTGCTGACAGTCAGTCAACGGCAGCGCAGCGCATCATCATCGCTGCATGATTCACCATCTCATGTGGCGGAAAGTCGTGTCACCGTCCTAGTGGAAGCGGGCCACGGAAAGGTCAAGGGGCGTGAACCGGATTCGGTGTCTGATCCAGAGGACGACGCCAGAGCCATTCGTCCGTGTCACCGCTCACCTCACCTCTCGCGCGCGACTCACCGCTTACTTCACATCTCGTCACCCATCTAACCGCTCACCTCACCTCTTGTGGCCCGTCCCACCGCTCACCTCACCCCTGACAGCCCGTCCCAGCGCTTACCTCATCTCTCGTGACTCGTCTCACCACTTACCTCACCTCTCGTGGCCCACGCCAGTGAGCAGCTCGGCTTAACAGCCGTGCCACCTGCCCCGCTAAGACAGCTCATCGACTCTTAAATCACCTGGTTTCACTGGTCAGCCCCGGTGACCAGCTAGAGTCGGCAGCCATCTCACCTGGTCGGCTCCGGTGACCAGCTGGGGACGGCAACTGCCCCACCTGGTCGGCGCCGGTGACAAGCTGGGGCCAGCAGCTGTCTCACCTGGTCGGCGCCGGTGACCAGCTGGAGCCGGCAGCCGTCTCACCTGGTCGGCGCCGGTGACCAGCTCCGGTCGACAGCTGACTTCAGCGCCCCGACTGAACCTGGCCAGCGCCAGCAGGCCGTCCAGCAGGCCCAGACACTGGACGGCGCGCTCCCAGACAGCCTGGTGGCGGCTGAACCTGGCGAACATGCGCCGGCTGATGTCCCGCAGCGCCGCCGTCCGCTGCTCCTCAGCCGCCAGCTGCCGGGCCAGCAGCTCCTGCCGGCACAGGTAGCACAGGGTTCGGCATCGCTGCTGCTGGCGGGGGACGCGGCGCCAGCGCCCCACGGCCACGGCCAAGGCTCACGCGGCGATTAGTCGCACGTAAATCCCGTGCCTCTTATAAGGATCCGGGCGTTTCGTCGGGCCTGTGACACTGTTGCGTGCATTTGATATGGGCGCGTCTGGAGTGTAAAAAGGCCGAGGTAGGGAACCGCCAGCAGACATATTTGAGCTCGGCAATAGCAAAGTTAGGCAAACAAGTTGGGATAAGAGTCGGAACGAGTGTCATGCCTTTTCATTCCACAACACTTTGCTCGATTGCAACGTCCTTTATCGTGAGATACTCCATACCATGCAACGCAAAACAATGCAAGACAGTAGCACCAGCATTACAGTCGAGTTCAAAAACAGAGGGAACACTCGCCAACACCCCTCAGGCGACTCATCAATAGCCCCATCGCCCCGCCCAGCATGGCTCTCTCGAGCACAGCTCCTACCTTGGTGGTGTCGGTCCAGTAGCGTTTGGCGCCCTTCTTCTGCGTCTGCAGCTCGTACGAGCCGCCCGCCTTGTGGACCGCTCGGTCCGGCACCTCCAGCTGGTACCGGTTCTTGGCCTGACCGAAGTACACCACCTGGCGGACGGCGCAGGGGTCAGGGTGCATTCTGAAGGGGGGGGGGGCTGACACCTCGGTGTGGGACGCCAATCACGAGCTCACGCGTACACGAAGCGTACGCTCTGTACTCAGGTCAAGGCCGACGTCTCCAGCGGAAACGCAGGTGCAAGTGCGATCTTCTAGCTCGTGTCGTTGTCCCCAGTGGCATTCTTGCCACGCCCCTGTCGGTGCTGACGAGCCCGGTCTGACCTCGCCCACGCCAGTGCTCCGGTGACGTTTGCCGCGTGTCCGCATCTCCCATGACAAGTCTGACTTTACACCCGCTATGCCGGCCATCTTACACCGTTACATCCGCGTTTCATCCGTTACAGCGATCATCTTACCCCGTCACACCCGTATTACACCCGCCCCTCAAGCCATGGAGGCCAATTTACAGCCGTGCTCCAGGGGCCGCGCCGCCTCCGCGGCCCGTTACGTATCCTACCTTGCAGCCGAAGTGGCGGCACTGCTCGTGCAGGTACTCGTCCAGCTCGCGCTCCACTTGCTCGAGCGCGTCGCGGGCCGCGTCGAACTGCTCGTCCACGCCGTCCGAGGGCAGGATGCGGCCCTCCTTGCGCGCCTCGGCCTGGTCAAACGAGGTCTGCGCCGACCGGCACCGCGTCAAACTCACCACCGCCAGACAGCGGAGGCGCGACACGGCTGGCTCACGGATCAGGTGTGACGAGCGTTCGGAACCAACAGGATGACGCTTAGGCGGGCGGTGTTAATCAGACTGACTTCACGTTACAAAGGTCTTTGAAATAATTTACTTTGGGAATAATGAAACACCAACACTCCTCACCTCAAAGTACTCGAGCACTTCGTCATACTCGGGAAACTTGCCGCCATCCTTCTCCAGCGTCAGGCAGCAGCGGAGCAGGTAGCTGCCGAAGTCGCTCGCGGTGCCTGCGGTCGGCAGAGCCCCACTCAGAATCCGGGCTCCGAAGCTCCGGCCCTGCCGCTGCACACTCACGACGGCCGGGGTCTTCCCTGGACGTCTGCCGATCATCCCTGCCCGTCGTCCCCTGCCGTCTACCGGCCATCCCTCCTCGAACGCCAGGGCTTGGATGGTACGTGACCCGACAGCGCTCTTAATGTTTCCGTAACTCGCGTTTTGGCACTGTGGCGTCGCCTTTTTCTAACTTGGCGACGTTCAACTCTTCGCTGCTTTGTTGTCCAACTCCAGCTCCACACCATCCATTATTGCTATGTTGTTCTGTCGGGACTTTGCAGACAAAGATATGGAGTCTACCAAGAGGACACAGCGAAATAAATCACAGATATCACACGAACGACTGGACAATCTGCCACGTCTCCAAACGAACGAGTCTCGCTCCATCCGTCCATTAAGGATGGATGGATGCTTCAAGGGTAAGGCCAGCCGCGAAACCCAGTCGCCCACCACTGAGCACAGCAGGCCGGTTTCGTGCATTCTCTGCCCATCGCAAATTAACTGAAAATAGCACATATTTTGACTTATTCCGCCGGCCTGACCGAGGCCGGTCTACCTCCTGTCAAGAGCCACAGCAGCGCTATAGGTATACTCCAACCAGAACTGCGCGGCCAGGCCGCCTGGCCAAGGCCAGGGAGGCCCGAATGCCTGCCAGTGGCCACCCGCTGATGACAGCTGTGAACTTCGACCCCAGCACCTTCACCGAGCATGTAAAGCCCAATCCTCCTCCCCTGCCGCCGACTTCAACTACTTATTTCCACCAACGGGTCACCCACATAAACGTGACCCGAGGCACGAGGTCACGTCAACCAGTCATGTCGTACGGAGGGGTACAAGAGGTAAAAGAACGTACGAGCGAACGTTAACATTCCGATCGTCAAACACAAACTCAGACCGGACATGTCCATAAAGCGGCTGCGAGGCGGCGGCCGTGTCGCATCAACAATGGATGTCGGGATGCATCACTGATGGACGCCGCGGCCCGGCGCTGCCTCAGTCCGTGTTTGAACGAGGCTGGCGTTGGTCTCACGGCCACAGGCGGCGAGGCCTTCAATAATGAGGCGGCGCGGCACGTGAGCAGCCTCCTGCGGGCCTCGTGAAGCCCCGAATACGGAGTCGACTAACAACGCTACCCCACCGAGCGTGTCTGGCGAGGCCAGGTCGGCCGCAGCTCCACCAGAGCAACGCAGCGCGGGGCCCGGGTCCTCCCGTCCGGCAGCTCCCGTGGAGCAGCGTCAGCGTCTGACATCATAGCGCCCGCTCCGACTACAGCTGCCGCGGCGCGGGCCGAAGCCGCCCTCCGCCTACCTGCCAGCGACTGCAGCAGCTGGGCGGCCTGCTTGAAGCCGGCCAGCGCCGACAGCAGGTCCATGACGCGGCTGCGGCTGTACTTGGTTTGCTCGAACATGATGGCGCGTGAGTCTGGGTGGCTGCCGCCGGCCCGCAGCCGGCTGTTGCCCTGCACGTGGATCCTGCGAGGCGAGCGGCCAGGTCAGGTGGCTCGCGCGCGGCCGGCACCGCACGGCGCAGCTCGCGGCGTTGGGCGTCATGGTCCCGGTCCCCGCGGCTAGATGGGCTCGCAAGCGCACTTCTTCACGCGGCCAGCAGACATATCACTACTTCTGATTCAGAACACGCCTTGTGTTGACATGCGCACACCAGACAAAGCACTCCACAGGAGCGCGGCGGCCTGGGTTCCAACTCCAGTGAGCTGGCGCCGTTTCACGGCGGCGGAAGCAGCTGGTGGTGACCCAGTCAGGAGATAGCACGGGTCAGGCCACACACAAACCACGCCAGAGATGGCGCCGACTCGGCCGCAGCGGCGGCGGCGGACGTACCGCCGGACCAGCCGCTCCAGGTCGGGCAGCTGCTTCAGCCGCGCCGTGACGTCATCCATGACGTCAGCGCGGCTCATGAGGTCCTCGACGGCGTCTAGACGGGCGGCGATGGCGGCCGGCGAGCGCAGTGGGCTGCAGAGCCAGGCCCGCAGCACGCTGTCGGCAGCGGCCCAGGTCAAGTCAGCGGCCGGCTATAGGGCCAGGCCCGCAGCACGCTGTCGACAGCGGACCAGGTCAGGTCAGCGGCCGGCTATAGGGCCAGGCCCGCAGCACGCTGTCGACAGCGGCCCAGGTCAGGTCAGCGGCCGGCTACAGAACCAGGCCCGCAGCACGCTGTCGACAGCGGCCCAGGTCAGGTCAGCGGCCGGCCGCTGAACCAGGCCCGCAGCACGCTGTCGGCAGCGGCCCAGGTCAGGTCGGCGGCCGGCTACAGAACCAGGCCCGCAGCACACTGTCGACAGCGGCCCAGGTCAGGTCACCGGCAGGCTGTGGGGGCAGGCCGACAGCAAACCGCCGGCGCCAGGTCAGGGCGGCACCAGGTCAGGACAAACCAGGCTATAATACACTAGGGCCAACCCCCAGAGCCAAAACACAAGGCATCCGGGTGTGGGGCGGTCTGAGTGCATCTAGACTAGTTTCCTCACGCTGCTCCTGCGTGGAAATGGGCATGGTGCCAAAGCCCTCATTTGTGGACGGACCTGGCATGACCACAGCCCTGATATGACCTAGCAGTGTGGGCAGTAGGCCGCGGACCGACTTCCGTTGCCGCTCATCAGGTTCAGACCGCCAAGCCTCCTACCGTTTTCCGAAGGCCGTAACGCAGGTATCCAGTGTGCCCAGCAGCGTACCCTCAGTGCCGCCATCTACCGAATTGGAGACGATCTCCAGATTCCGGAGTGTGACGCCGTCGAGCACCTGGCGATAGTGAGCACGTCGCTCCGTGAGTGCCGGCAGCGCTTTTGAGGGAGCCGGCTGCGAGAGGACCACCAGTCCACCAGAATGGCACCACATATGGCTTAACATCGAACAGAAAACCAACTATTTGCCACATAAAATTTGTGCGTCGTACCTCGCTAAATGGTGCAATATCAGCTACCAAGTAGGGCTTCTGGTTCATATGCAAAAGCAATCACCCAAGTAATACCATAACCCAGCGGGTTCCAGTAGCCGGAAGCGTCAGACGGGGGGGGGGGGGGGGTTGAAGCACATATGATTCCCAACCAGCCATCGGATACAATTTCTGTTGGTCATGACGTTTCGAAAGAAACATCATATAGCATCGTTCCACATACGAAAGCAGTATGAACAACTATCAGCCGCACAAAAGTCATTGGCCGTTACAACACGAGGCCCTGCACTGAACGTCACCGGCGCTGCTGTGAGAGCGCGCTGCTCACCATCCTGCCCGCCGGATGGTGCGCGGGGCCGTCCGACTCAGGCCGGTCCGGCGGCGTCTCCGGCGAGCCGTCCTCAGCCGCCGCGCCCGGCACGTCCGGCGGCTGGTACCGGGAGAACCTGCCAGGGTACAGACGCGCGTTAGACGGGGTACCGGGAGAACCTGCCAGGGTACAGACGCGCGTCAGACGGGGTACCGGGAGAACCTGCCAGCCAACAGGCACACGTCATGCGGGGTACCGGGAGAACCTGCCAGGGTACAGACACACGTCATACGGGGTACCGGGAGAACCTGCCAGCCGACGGGCGCCGTCTTACGGGTATCGGGAGAACCTGTCATGTCACAAACACATGTCAGACGGGGTACCGGAAGAACCTGCCAGGGTACAGACGCACGTCAGACGGGGTACCGGGAGAGCCTGTCACCCAACAGATGCACGTCAAACGGGGGTACCGGGAAAACCTGCCAGGGTACAGACGCGCGTCAGACGGGGGCACCAGGACAACCTGCCAGAGGACAGACACACGTCATACGGGGCTGCCGGGAGAACATGACCCCGTAAAGGGCACACGCCACATCGGAGCATGGAAGAGCCTGGCCGCGCCAGCCCAGAACACAGTGCACTGAGAGAATCTGGCTGAGACACTGACCCATTCAAACACGACTCATTGCACCAGATACTGGCAGTACCACACCAGAGAACGACTGCACTTCGGGCATGTAGCCACCCTGTCAGCTGACCAGGGGGGCGCACCAGCCCAACCAAGCTGCCATTGAGACTGCCGATGGCGGTCCCGTCGACAGAATGTCACTTGGATTGGCAGCAGCAGCTGCACGCGCAACACACGTATGACGTCCGTCGCATCAAAATCGCTGAATGCATGAGACCGCTCTGCAAACAAGTGCCGAAGTCGGACCGGGTTCACAGCGGATGTCCGGTTCGGCGCCCCAGCCCGAAGCCAGTCCGGGTGGCGTCGTGTTACACAGCGCCACTGAGGTGCTGCAGGGCGAGTCCTGTACCGGGCGCCGTCAGCCCGCGCGGGGCCGTACCTGCGCATGGAGAGCAGCTGCGTGTCCAGCATGCTGAGCTGCAGGTACCAGGTGACGGCGCCCAGACACTGCAGCGCCAGCTCACAGTCCTTCCGGGGGTTCAGGTGCAGGGTGTCTCCTGCGGGGCAGGCGTCACTCCATGGCTGGGTGCTGAGCAGATGTCCGTGAATACGGATAACTTTTCATATTCGCCTTCGTTCTCGCCACCTCTGGTGACCTTAAGAAATGTCGAAATGGATTACTGATATAGTGTTCGCATACAACACACCTGGAGAAGATCAGTTTCGGAGGTACAAAGCGGCGACGACACTCGAACACAGAGTAGAACGTGTGATTCTCATCGACCAGCTTTGCGATGCTCGTCCCCCGCCTCCAGGCTATACATGTAGGTCGGAGACCTCTTCACAGCACGCATGCTAGAACACCGACCAGCCGCCGCCACTGGCCTGAGGTCCCGTTCGGCGTAACGCGTCGGCCGAACACCACCCCCGAGGCGAGCCTCACCGTCTCTGGTGGCGTCCAGCAGCGTCTGCGGCCACTGGAGCTCGCCGCTGCCGTCCTCGCCCTCCCGGAAGTAGTCCGTTTCCGCCAGGAAGCGCAGCGTCTTGTCGGCCGCCCAGAACTCCTCGCCGACTCGGAGCGTCTCTTTCAGGCAGTTGGGCAGCAGTGACGTCAGAACGTCACGTGACCGCTGCGGCGCGGCGGTGCGCGCCTGCAGCAGCTGCGGGTGAAGAACGGCGCGCAGTGTCAGCCGGGCTGGCGAGGGTCTGGTGATACAGGCGACAAGAAGCATGCGGGTAGCGCACCATGCATGTGGGACAGGCCGGCAGGCGCACAGCTGCCAGTGTGTGCGAATATCTTACTGTTACCTAAGACGGGGTGCTCCAACAGAGCAGGAGAAAAGAGCCAACGGAGTGATCCAACATGTTCGTACGCGCAATTGAAAGCCCAGCCACCCCGCGTAGATTAACAAAAAAAAAAACCCTACAGAACTATCATAATTCTAGATTCGGTGATACGGTGACCAAGGATTAGGAGCGGAGTGTTGTGTGTCGTGAACTACAGGAAACATATATCCATTAAAATACATATTCAAATACTAACAGCAAAAAGAAAACAAGAAAAACAAGCTTCGCATTTTTCGTCAACAAAATAACGTCTTCCACACTGACTGAAAGCACCGACATATTTGCGTCACGTGAAAGCGCCAACGTTGTAAAATAAGGGCAGAAGTGGTGTCGGCATCATGCTAGCGTATACCTGCGTATAGTGCTAGTGTTTATATCCTGATAGCCAGATGCGCCAAATAGCATCGTGACTTTAAATGTCGGCCGAATGGCTTCAGACACGTCGCAGTGGTCCAGTCGGTCGCGGCACCGGTGCCCGCTGCCTGCTGAGCTTCTGAGCCTGCGCTTCTGCCTTGGCCAGAGCCGTGCGTGTGAGAGCGCCGCGCGCGACCCCTGAGCGCCGCCGCCGCCGCCGCCACTGCCCGCGCCATGGCCGCCTGCCAGTTCGTCATCTGCGGCCAGGTGGAGTGCGAGCGGTACGCGCGGCTGGAGGCGGCCGCCGACCACCTGCAGCGGCGTCTGCCCAGCTGCCGCGTTATCAAGGAGCCACAGCCGGCCGAACACTGGGCGTGCTACCTGCGCCGCACGTGCGCCGCGCAGGGCTGGGACCTGCCAGCCGACACGCGCGGCCCGCTCGTCTGGCGGCTGCTGGTGCAGCGCGGCGGCCGCGCCCTGCTCATCGGCGGTCTCTCCGACTTCCTGCGGCTGGTCGACATCTACTATGGCCTGCCGCTGCCGGCGCCGGCGCCGGCCGCCGCTCGCCAGGTGGCGGCCAGCACGGCCGAGCAGCAGCGGCTGGAGCTGCGCCAGCGGTGCCAGGAGCGCGCCGCGCTCGAGCGCCGACTCACCAGCGTCACCATCATCGGCGCGCTCACGCCGGCCGCCTACCACTTCCTGGCGGCGCTGGCCACGGGCCGCGTGCTGGGCGAGGAGCTGGTGATGCGGCTACAGCTGCTGGGCGAGCCAAGCTGCGCGGAGCTGAGCGCGCTGCGCATGGAGCTGCTGGACCTAGCCAGCCCGCAGCTGGCGCAGGTGGCGCTGCTGCCGACGCTGCGCGAGGCCGTGCGGAATGCGGCCGTCGTCATCGTGCTGGAGCCGATCGTCGATCCTCCGCCTCCGCCGCCGCCGCCGCCGTCGCCGCCGGCCAGCCCGCCGCCGTCCGAGGACGCGCCGCCCGCCGCAGAGCGCGCCCTGCCGGCCGCTTCGGCCGAGCGTTCGGAGGGCGACGCCGAGCCGGCGCGGCCATCCGGCTCTGCCGACAGCGCGGGGGCGCCGCGCACCTCGCCAGAGCCGCCGGCCATCTCCATCACCGAGGACGCATCACCGCCGCCAGCCGCCTTCGAGATGCCCTCGTCGCCGCCGACGTCCGCGCGCTGGGCCGGCAGTGAACTGCACCGGCTCTCCACCATCCAGGAGGATCCCGACAGCGAGGCGCTGGAGGAGGAGGAAATGCAGGCGGCGTCACGATCCGCCAGCGCCGCAGCCGCGGCCGCGGCCGCGGCAGCAGCCGCCGCTGCTGCTGAGGCGCCCACGACCACGACCACGACCACGCCGGCGCTGGCGCGGTCTCAAGAGCCGGTGCCCGGCACACCAGACCCGTCCACCGGCGACGCACAGGAGGGCGCCCCGGCGGACGCCGCTGCGTCGGAGCCGCCGCCGGAAGAGCTCTCCGGCGAGACTGGAGAGACGCCGCCCGGCTCCGGCCAGCCGGCGGCCGGGAGCGCCGAGGACGAGCCGTCTGACCCGCAGACGGCCCCCGCCGAGGCGGCCGAGTCGGAAGGCGGCGAGACCACCTCGGAAGCACCGAGCACGGCGCCGACGCCATCTGCCGAAGGCGAGACGCAGCCCGAGCAGCCTGAGCCGGACGGCGACGACTGGGACGAGGAGCTGAGGGAGCTGTTCGACCGGATGCGCGAGTACGCGCTGGCCATCGAGGCGACGGCCAGCAGCCACTGCCGGGTGGTGGTGGCCGGCGGCCGGGTGCCGTGCTTCGCAGCGAGTGTGATGCTGCTCCACCTGGCGCGCCTGCCGCCAAACAACGTGATCGCGCTCTGCACGCCGCGCGTCAACCAGCTGCGCGCGCGGCTGGCCGCGGAGCTGGGCGTCACCGCCGCCGACGTGCACGACCTGGTGGAGTGGGGCAACCCACCGGGCGGGCGCAGCTGGCTGGACCTGGAGGCGGCGGGCGTGAGCCGGCACCGCGGCGCCGTGCGCGGCCCGGCCGGCTACCGGCGCCCGCTGCCGGAGATCCCGCACGCAGCGCTGGACGGCGCCGAGCAGCGCCTCTCGCCGCTGACGCTGGCCTCCGGCCTCACCCACACGCTGCGCCAGTGGTGGGCCGGTCACGAGGACGGCCGGCTCCAGTCGCTGGGCGTGGCGTCGGACGGCGCGTTCGGCGTGCCCGAGCGGCTGGTGTTCGCCGCGCCGGCGCGCCTCGTGGCCGGCGACTTCCGAGTGTGCCGCGCGCTGCCGCTGGGCCCGGCCGGCGCCGCGCAGGTGCGCGCCGCCGCCGAGCAGATGGTGGCGTGGCTGGCGCGCTGCGGCCTGCGCCTGTCGCCGTCGCGCCGACACTGCCCCGCCGCCAGCGGCGCCTCGCTCTACAGCCGCCGGTGCCGGCGAGGAGACGCCGCCAGCCGAGGGTGACCGGCCGCCGTCCGGGCCGGCGGAGGCCAAGGGGTCCACCGATGGTGAGGAGCAGAGCCTGGCTGGTGACGGGGAGCCGGGGTCAGCCCCAGCGGAAGGCAGGCAGGGATCGGCAGGGGAAGGCGGAAGGAGGGGATCGACGTTCAATGAAGGGCGGCAAGGGTCCGCATCCGCTGAAGAGCAGCGAGATTCATCTTCCGCTCAGGAAAGGAAGCCATCCGTATCCGCCGAGGGCAGACGAGCGTCAGCATCCGCTGAGGATGGAGGAGGCTCCGCCACCCCCGAGGGAAGGAGGGCATCCAAATCCGCCGAGGGCAGGAGAGCGTCGACATCCGCCGAGGACAGGAGAGCATCTACATCCGCCGAGGGCAGGAAGGCATCCATGTCCGCCGAGGACAGACGAGCGTCAACATCCGCTAAGGGTGGGGGAGCGTCCACAACCACCGAAGGACGGAGAGCGTCGACATCCGCCGAGGGTAGGAGGGCATCAGCAGCTGCTGATGGGGAGCGAGAATCAGCAGCCGCTGATGACGAGCAGACTGTGCAGACGAAGAAGGCCGCGCCGTCGTACATCAACTAAGCTCGGACAAAACAAAAACCTCACCTTCAAAAAACCGCATCACACCGCCAACGGATGCGACCAAGATCAGCAGGGGCCAGTAACGGAAGGTCCACTCTGCTTACGTGGGCAGAACGATAGCCCGAAACGCCTTGAACGACAAATGTTGCACACTGATGAAACAAAACAACATGATGGAAACTTGATGAAATATGATGGAAACTTCAAACATCTGCTAGGTCAGTGACTACAAAATGCCCTCGCACACATACAGTTGATCCAAATATTGGACTAACATCTATTTTGCATTCTCAGGTTATATTAGAGACCGGGTGTCCACGTTATGACATTTATGAAATGCCACAGCAACTTAAGGTTCCGCACTGTACGTTAACACGATCTCTGCTAGTGCAGCTACAAGCCGCGTGTCCCCTGATTTCTTATGGGAGCAAAAACGACATTCAAATGAAATGCAACACGACACAACAGCGTGGTGCCGTGGTGTAAATAGTGTCCAAGAGGAGGATGCTGAGCACGCCAAGGTTTCTCGGGCTAGGTATACTGACGTTTGTGCAAGGTTGCTTTTCCAATGACTCCCGTCTTGGCAGGCCTGGATGCTCTGGCCGCTTCGCAACTTGGCGATACTCTCCGCCAGATAGCGCACCATATTCTGTCAATTCATTTCCCATACATGGCGATGAATACTGTCTGGCTTCAACGCGGCCTCAGAATTCAGCCCAACCAAAGCTAGAGAAGCTGAAAAGATGTTAAATAAGATTCTGACCACTTGCCACCTCGTCTTCGACACGACGCACGTCGCAGTAAATTATTTATCTTGCACAGCTATGCAGAGAAACTGAGGGCAACAATAACAGTGACAAGGAGCATGCAGCAATGATTAGCAGGTGTTCCCCAGGCGGAAATCAAATCGGCAGTTGTCGTGCCCAACGCACAGAGGATCCGCCACCAGCCCACACGCAAGGGCGGGGTACTGACCTGCACTGGCGGGTAGTGCGCCAGCAGCGTGCGCAGGCGTGAGCAGTGACAGTCGTCACTGAACTGCCCCAGACGGAAGTGACCGACCGACGTGTCCACGAAGCACACGCCGAACTGCAGCTCGCCGTCTACCTCCTGCCGGGCGGTCAGCGATCAGCGGTTACAAACGCGGCGCAGGTGGGAAAGTTCGGACGCGCTGATAACGAGTCTATTTGTCCGTTGTGACCATGCATTTTTTTGGAAGGAGCTTGCCAATATTGCGTCACGCTGCCTGGTTTGTTCGCAGCCTGATCGTAACACATCTAACATTAAAAATTAGACTTAAATAAGACTAATACCACAAAACGAGACCACAGTTTTCGGCCACGCGGGGAAGGACCAGAGAAGTATACAAATAAGAGTACGCTGGACACGACAACCAACACCAAAACATGCCATGACGCCAAATCCATTCAGGATGGCACGTCCATAACATATTCACGGCCTGTCCCCACCAACGCCCACGGCCGAAAACGAATAATCAAATCAGTTATCAATTTCGTAAACACAACCTCGCAGGATTGCGCGATTCAAGACCGCAGCCTGACATGCGAACTGAGGCCCGCTCGCAGACGGTCCTACAACACACTCTTATCGCCTTAAGAACCGAAAATAAAAGAGCGCAAGTCTGCGCACTGACGATGCAGCCTAACTTAGATCAGGCGGCATAGCAGCTTCACACGGCTGTGTCCGGTCGAGTTCAGACCCGCGGCTCACAACCGTCCCCAAGTGGCCAGTCCAACTTGTCCTCTGACGGCCAGCTCAACCACTCCCTGAAGACCAGCTCACACACTCCCTGAAGGCCAGCTCACCTGCCACCTGACGGCCAGCTCACCTGCCACCTGACGGCCAGCTCACCTGCCACCTGACGGCCAGCTCACCTGTTCCCTGACAGCCAGGAGGTAGCGCAGCTCGCCGTCGGTGGCGTCGCCCTCCATGGCGCTGAAGGTGCGCGTCCCTCGGGACGTGATCTGACACACCTCACGCGCCACCACCTTGTCAAACTTGGTCGTCCTCTTGGTGCCTGCGGCGAACGCGGAACCGCGGCGTGAACTGACGCCTAACAGCACCATCAACGCGGGTACACGGTGCAACTAAACGCATAAAGCCAACATGACGGCGACACAACACGTCACACCAACATCGCAAGGGAAACCGATGTGAGAAAAACTCGAGTTGCTCGCACGCGCTGGGTGATGGTCTTCTGAGGTATGTCCGCTTTCCGCCGCACTGATTGCTTCCTGACGAAGCAGTTAAAGCAAAGACAACACAAAAAAGCACCTGAAAAGCAGCCTCATCCTGTTCAGGCGCGGAACAGTTTGTCCCTTGCTCCCAGCCGTGTGATAGGTCACACAACAACCATGCTCGGCTGTACCGCACGCCCCCTAGCGGCGACAGCGACGTCGCCCGACCGACACTCACTGCTGGCGACGCGGCTCTGCATCATGTCCGGCGTCTCCGTCTGCTCCACGCGGCACACTTTGTGGCCCTTCTCCACCAGGGCGGCCGCGTACCGGCCGTAGGACGCCTCGGGGAAGCCCACGTGCGCGTGGTCCCCCTGCAGGCACGCGGCGTCGTCAGAGACAGCGGTAAGGCCAGGCAGAGGTGTAATCGACAGAAGGCTGGCCGGTGGCCGTAGGTGACGCCGCGCTGTCTGGAGAGTCGCGGAACGGTGCTGGTACATGGGCAGCAGTGAGAATCGCAATATTGGCGGCAGGGGTGCGCAGGAGGACGCACAACTAACATGTGCAGAATGGTGCAACGTGACATACACTGAGCCCGTGTTTTCTGAAATATAATGTACACGAGACTCTTCAAACGAGTAAGCAGATCGTTGAAATGCTCCACAGCGACATATTTACAGTCCGCATCCACAAAAGATATGAGTAACAGCCAGAAAACAATGATGACGCACATAATTTAACACGTGAGCAAAAAAATGCAGGTTCTGTTCTATCAACTGCAGTGAAGAACCAACCTTCATATAAAGAAGCCCCAACTCCTTGACGCAGAGAACGGCATCCATATGAAACATCTCGTAGAACTTCCCCATTTTGAAGAAGATGACGCAATCGAAGTGCTCACACTTGATGACCCACCACTGCCGTAAAGCCTGCGACACAAGAAGCTGGCATCTGACCCAAGCCTGGACATTCCAGACTTGTTTTAGGCGCTTATTTACAACCAACAGTCACTGCGGATGCATCCGCAAATAATTAACAAGTGATTTTGAACAGGACAAGCAACAGGATAAATGCCCCTGCCCAAGTTTACTTTTGGGACCACAGGCAAATGTGTGACAAGGAAGTTTATGGTATAACTCATAGATTATGACTATCTATAATTCCGAAAATTGTTCAGGCAAAACCAAGTCCATCTAATGTGCAGTTGAGTCCAATGCCATGCTACAAAACACTGCTGCTAGGCCATTTGCTGTCGATCCTGTGACACTGTTTCTCCCAAGTATGCAGAATTTGGAACAAGGAAATTGGAGTATCAGTGAGCAAATCGGATACTGGAGCAAAAGTCAACATCTCTTCAGCTACCATTAGGAGGTTTAAGAGTGCATCAACTGCACTGGCCCAGCTACCATTATGCCATAAATCCAGACCCATGTAGCTCTGCCTTAAAACTGATGCCTCCTTCCAGAAAATATGAAGTGATAACTTCAAACGCGGTCTAACAAAGCCACACGCTCTCGCCGAGCTGCCGCTCGCCGCCTTCGCGCCCGTACCGGCGTCTGCTTATCCAGGAAATCTGCCGGCACGCGCAGCGAGCGCGGGTTGAAGTCGGGGTCGCTGGGGCGGCGGCCGGCCGCGTCCCTCCGCCGCTCCGGCAGCAGGAAGTCCAGCTTCAGGTGCGGCCAGTTGTCCGCCAGGTCGTCCGCCGGCGCCGGCGACGCCTCGCACTGCAACCGGGGGTAGGCTCGGGAGCGGGCTCGACGCTTCCGGCGCCGGCGCTGTTGTGGTCCGGCTCCACACGGGTGAGCAGGGCTGGAGCTTCCGCTACTGAAACTTCCCCACACGGGCGATAAATTGAACCCAATCTGCGTGGTGACCGTACAGCGATTCCAAATCAGTCAAAATTCTAACAGGAAATGCTGTTTGCGCCACCGGCTTCCAACGACCAATCCCGACGCCTAGATAACTGGGGTCCAGTCCGACTCACCTCCGCCGAGAACGAGGCAAGCTTCAGCTTGGTCGCACTGCCCAGGGGTCGCGGGGTCGTCGGTGCCGGGGTGCTGGGCGTCGAGGGGACTCGGGGAGACTTCTTGTCGGCAGATGAACCGCACGTTGGAGTTCTCGCGACGAGTTTGGCGCGTTTAGGGGTCTTCTTAACCGGCGAGTCCTCGGCTGAGTCGACGGCGTCATCAGCGTACTCGTCATCGGAGCTCAGCTCGTGTTTCTTAGCTGCAGCATTCGCGAACGGTTTTAAGCCAGTGCTTAGGGCGAAACCTTCGCATGCAAATAGGCAAATCTAAACATAATGGCACATTCAACTCACACAGGTTCTTGCATGCAATACTAAGACCATTCAGTATTATCCCCAAACCCTACCCAGTCTAAACAAAATCCTGATTGAAACACTGTGAGTCAATGACGATATTCAGCAGCTAGACCACATCTTCCAATAGGTCTACCTGAGCTGCAACAGGCCTACCGCACAGCACCTGTGTAATGACAGCTGACAACGCACTCACGTTGGTACTCATCTTCAGAATCTTCATCTAGTTCATCTGATTCTGAATGTATGGTTTCGGGAAGCTGCTTGTCCTCCACTTTCTTTCCATTGGCCAAGCTCTGATCATTCTCACTGTCATCATCATCACTCTGAAGTCGAAGCCTCTTGAACTGTTTGGCACTCCCCTTCCTGCCTGCTTCATGGCTGCCACTCTCAGTTCCAGTGGGCCTCGGTCGCTTTGGGGTAACACTCTGGTTGCACTGCTTGTGCACTTTAGGAGTAGTGTTTTTCTGAGTGTGCTCTTTTTGTGATATTGGAGTGCTGCTTTTAGTGCACTCCTTGTGCTCAGTCTGTTTACTGCCAGCTGCAGTAGGCGATGCCTTTGAACGTTGGAAATAGTTGAACAGTGTATTCTTTTGAGACATTGCTTTCAGCCTGTATGACTCTGAGATGGATGCCTGAAAAACAGGCACATAGTTAAAAAAATAGTCATAGTTATAGTATATAGTTATGCATGTGTGCTGTCAAAAGAATGGTTGATAGATATTTCACTATTTTTGCAGCTGCTGCCTCAGTTGAAATTTCCCTTGTTGGAGACAAATTGTCACAATTATAGGGCTATTTATAGGAAGCACTTAACAAGACAAAGCATAAACTAAAAACTGGGCACAATACTGGTGACCTGGTAATGTCTGTAAATGATGAATGCAACAATCAAGCACAGCTGAAAATACACCAATCTTCTCAGACCTCATGGAGAATTTTGAGGCTCTATGACACTGGGTACTATGTGGGCACTGGATAAAAATATCTCCTCTATCACTGGTCATTGACCATCATCTTGCTTTTATTCAGAAACATTGAAACAAGCTCCTAATTCTAAGCAGTGAGAAACCACTCCTATTGCTCAGTTCATTTTGAGCAGTCACCAGGCAAGAGATGTATGGTTCATTGCCAAGCCCATGCCATTTTTTTGCTATGTGTTGATAACTCACCAAACCTCATCATAAGCCAGACAAAAAGGTTTGCTGATGACACAAAGATGCTATTTTATTTGATAGCAGTGGCACCTAGATCAGGCTGGAACAAATACACATGATGCCTAAGATGTATGGCATAGCAGCAAAACTGGTGTAAACTTTCAGCTCACATAATCTGTAAATCTGAGCAGAGCTTGGAGCATTGTCACCACCAATGTCAGCAGAAAGCCATCTTATCTGGGAAATATGATGGTGTCTAGGTAATTTTGGGTAAAAATGTTCTCAAGTATTTTTATACATAATACAACATAATGCAGCACAAATTAGCATGGCTTCAGTTTGGAGCATACAAGCACCAGGTTCAGGGTGCTGTAGAAACATAGCAAAAGCATGCTTTATTGCAGGCTGGCACCAAGGTGCTAAAAGACAAGATCCATCTCTCAAAACAACACTACATCTTCACAGTTCTCCTTACTTGTGATAAATGAGGCCCGGCCCAGGACGTGGATTTACCTTTTCAAGTGGTGATGCAATTTTTAGTGTTGAATCATGCATGATCAGGGAGCTAGCATGTATAGGTCTTCCTGTGCTTAGGTCTGAATGCTGTAAGTCTAGGCACTACCTGTGTGAGCAAATCCAGGCAGGTAGCAGAGTTGATTAATACACAACTGGCATCAAATAACCTTGCTAAGCTGGTATGAAATAGCCCCCCTGAGTGGAACTAGCCCTGTTTTTCATGTTTCACACATTACTTGTCTAGAATTGTGATTTAGTTTAGCTGTTAGCTGTCTTATCCCCATGCCAAGACACTCACATCCAGTGCCAGCGGACACTTAAGTCTAAGGAAGGAGAACATATCATCAAGGACAGCCGCAAGGGATACATCAAGCACATATTTGTCAACACTCGTCATCCCCTCCCAACCTCGAACATGATAGCACCACGGGAGCCCGATATTAATGCATAACATTACGGGCATGAGGGACACATTCGCTGGGGGCTACATACGTTCGCACACAGAAAAAAACAGACATTACATCCATGAGGATATATGCCAACAGCACGCCATTTCTTCCTTTCCGATTCTTATTACTGAAAAGTCCATACCGAGGCGCTAACCCATGCAGGGCAATGATGCTGCCACTATCGCCAGCTGTGGCTGCTCCTGAAATGTGCATTTTTGCGCGCGACTCTTTACTAGGCTGATCGAAACGAGGTGGTAGAACTACATGACGTCAACAATTATTTCAAATCTGTTGAGGGAAATCATTTAACACTTTGCGTGAATATTAAACTTAACCTTCTTATTTGCTTTTATATTTGGAAAATAATGCTTGAATTATAACAATTTTATATCCCAATTTGTTTTTACGTCATTTCTTGCCGAGCTACGGAGCGCGCGAAGAGGGCTCCGGTCGCGCTGAACTTACCAGCAAACCCAATTGTAACGCGGATAGGGCGTTAATGCCGCAATAAGCGCGCGCCTCCGAGGGCGATATCGGGACGCGCCAGGTAAACATATCGCGAGAACGGACGTGCAGGACGTGCTGCGTAACTCGTTCCACCTAACATGGTTCTTTCCAATACATTTAAGGACGTTGGAGGCGTGTAGAAGCCGGTCGGTGCGGTGACGGTCCCTGGTGGTCGAGGATATCCGTCAGTCGCCGGCGAGGCAATTGCCGGCTGATGCGTGTTGCGAAAGCAGGAACAAGAAACGAGTTCGGGGGTATCTGTGGTATTCTTCAAGTACTTCACCTTTTTTAGAAGAAGAAAAATCTCCACCGCGAGCGTTTTACGCGCAGTGCGGCACGGGCTCAACCGGCTCGCGTTGGCAGGATTGCCCGACTTTGAAATCATACAATCCAAACGACATCTTTAGCACCAAATATAATGAGCAGGCAATTAACATTATTCACTACGTCGTTTCAACCACTGCTACTCACAATGCTCGCATGATTGCCTATCATCTTCAAGAAATAACCATCTGATAATATAATAATTTCGGCCACAAACAGGTCATTTGATTTTTAACACGCAGACAGCCGACGATTTATAGCATGTACTAAAAGCGCAACATAAGCACCAAATTACGCACATTCGAGCAATCAAGAAAAGTATCTCAGTTCTTCACATTCGTGTCTCGAATTGATATTTCCAAACAGACAGCACAGAGAAAAACCCAACAATGTCGGCGGAACTGAAGCAGTTCCAGCAGTCTTAAAAAACGGACCAAGCCACGGGAACCAAACACCGAAGCCAAGCCAACGTTTTTGGTACGGTACATTGACGTCTATTAGCGCAGTGCATCTCATACACGAGTCCGGATAATGTGATTCACACTTATTAGGACCAAGCACATCGTGACGACATTGTCGCTTAAACTACAACACTTGGGTTCAATTAATATGACTACTCCGTTGCCGTGACATGCTGCCATCATGTCGTGCAGAGGGACTGTCGTAGTACCCTCTTAAAGTAGTGCACCTCTTGTACAATTCCAACGAGCAAGGCTTGAAATCGCTCTGGCATCCAGAGACATACTCTGCCGAGGTAATATGCCAACAGCCACCATAAGGAAACGGATCAAGCCTCGGGGAACGAAGACTGAAGCAAGGCCAGCGTTTTCGGTACGGTACATATACGTCTGTTAGCGTAGTGCACCTCACACACGAGTCCGGATAATGCAATTCACCCCTTTAGAACTGAACACGTCGTGCTGACAATGTCGATGGAACTGCAAGACTTCGGTCCGATGAATAAGACTCATGCATTGCCGTGAGATGCTGCAATCATGTGCAGAGGGACTGTCGTAGCACCCTCTTAAAGTAGTGCACCTCTTGCACAATTTCAACGAGCAAGTCTTGAAATCGCTCTGACATCCAGAGACATACTCTGCCGAGATATTATGCCAACAGCCACCCTATGGAAACGGATCAAGCCTCGGGAAACGAAGACTGAAGCAAGGCCAGCGTTTTCGGTACGGTACATATACGTCTATTAGCGTAGTGCACCTTACACACGAGTCCGGATCATGTGATTCACACTTATTAGGACCAAACACATCTTGCTGACGATGTCGGTGGATATGCCGGACCACGGTCCGATGAATAAGACTCGTGCATTGCCGTCAGATGTTGCCATCATTGGCGGACGGACTGCAGTAGCACCCTCTTGAAGTAGTACACCTCTGGTATAATTCCAATTAATTCCAATTGGCGAGACCTACAACCACTCTGACATCCAAAGACGTACTCTGCCGAGATAATATGCCAACAGCCACGCTAAGCAAACGGACTAAGCCCCGGGAAACGAAGACTGAAGCAAGGCCAGCGTTTCCGGTACGGTACATATACGTCTGTTAGCGTAGTGTACCCCACACACGAGTCCGGATCATGCGATTCACACTTATTAGGACCAAACACATCTTGCTGACGATGTCGGTGGATATGCAAGACTTCGGTCCGATGAATAAGACTCATGCATTGCCGCCAGATGTTGCCATCATTGGCGGACGGACTGCAGTAGCACCCTCTTCAAGTAGTACACCTCTTGTATAATTCCGATTGGCGAGACCTAGAAACCGCTCTGACATCCAAAGACGTACTCTGCCGAGATAATATGCCAACAGCCACCAGCCAGCCAGCCAGCCGTCGTGCGGACAATGTCGGTTGAGTTACAACACTTCGGTTCAATGAACAACACCCATGCATTGCCGTGAGATATCACCATCACGTTGCGCGGACTGGCCGTAGAGGCAGCCTCTTAAAGTTGTGTACCTCTTGCATTATTCCAGCTGTCGAGACCTCAAAACGGCTGCGGCATCCAATAACATTTTCTACCGAAGAAGTACTCTCGTATATAAGGTACGCTGCGCTTATAAATACATATGTACCGTACCGAAAACTTTGGCCTCGCTTCGGTCTTCGGTTTCCGGGGCGTGGTCCGTTCCCTTAGAATTGCTGTGACACATTATTCCGGTACAGTGTGTCTTTGGATGACAAAGCGGTTTTTAGGTCTCGCCAACGAATTATGCAAGAGGCGCACTACTTTAAGAAGGTGCTACTACAGTCTGTCCGCACATGATGGTGACATCCCACGACAGTGCATGAGTCTTATTCATTGAATTAAAGTGTTGCAGCTCAACCGACATTGTCGGCACAATGTGTTTATTTCTACTTAGTGTGAATCGCGTTATAAGGGCTCTTGTTTCAGGTGCCCGGCACGACTAAACGTATATGTACCGTACCTAAACCGTTGCCTTTGTTTCGGTCCTCGGTTCCCGGGGCTTAGCTTCGTTCCTTAGGGTTCGTGTCGGGATGTTTTCTCGGCGGGGTGTGTCTTAGCCTATCAGAGTGGTTTTTAGGTCTCGCCGATCGGAATTATACAAGAGGTGTACTACTTTAAGAGGGTGCTACTACAGCCTGTCCGCACATGATGGCAGCATCTCACGGCAATGCATGAGTCTTATTCATCGGACCGAAGTCTCGCAGTTCCACCGTCATTGTCAGCACGATGTGTTTATAACTGTATTGGTATTCTTCAAGCTAGCAAAGCCAGACAGGGTGCTAAAATTTGTTTCTGTTGGGGCCCCACGTAGACCCAAGGCGTTATGCCTAAGTAAGGTTAAGTCCGCACAGATATGACTCATAAACGCAGTTTTCTGTGTTCAGCTGTGGGTGCAGATATGAGTTTGACCCAGCTCCGAACATTTTCGTGAAACTACAAGTGCTACAACACGTCCGTCAATCTAGCAGCAGATTGATATCCAATTGCCAGTTGGATATTGCGGGGCATCTCGATTGCCCCCAAATTTGGTGTGCAGGGCCTTCTCGACACGCTGATTCCGAAAATCACTACCTTTGGGGTGGAATTTTGCGTAATTTTCGAGTTATACGCTGCGTAACGTCCCAATGTGATATTTCGGGGCGTCTCGATTGCCCCCAAATTTGGTGTGCAGGGCCTTCTCGACACGCTGATTCCGAAAATCACTGCCTTTGGGGTGGAATTTTGCGTTATTTTCGAGCTATACGCCGCGTAACATCACAATGTGATATTGCGGGGCGTCTTGATTGCCCCCCCCCCCAAATTTGGTGTGCAGGGCCTTCTCGACACGCTGATTCCGAAAATCACTGCCTGTGGGGTGGAATTTTGCGTAATTTTCGAGTTATACGCCGCGTAACACCCCAATGTGATATTGCGGGGCGTCTCGATTGCACCCAAATTTGGTGTGCAGGGTCTTCTCAATACGCTGATTCCGAAAATCACTGCCGTTGGGGTGGAATTTTGCGTAATTTTCGAGTTATGCGCCGCGTAAAATCCCAATGTGGTGTTGCGGGGCGTCCCGATTGCCTCCAAATTTGGTGCGCAGGGACTTCTGAATACGCTGATTCCGAAAATCACTGCCTTTGGGGTGGAATTTTGCGCAATTTTTTAGTTACACGCTGCGTAACATCCCAACGTGATATTGCGGGGCGTCTCGATTGCCCCCAAATTTGGTGTGCAGGGCCTTCTCGACACGCTGATTCCGAAAATCACTGCCTTTGGGGTGGAATTTTGCGTAATTTTCGAGTTGTACGCCGCGTAACATCCCAATGTGATATTGCGGGGCGTCTCAATTGCACCCAAATTTGGTGTGCAGGGTCTTCTCAATACGCTGATTCCGAAAATCATCGCCTTTGGGGTGGAATTTTGCGTAATTTTCAAGCATACGCTGCGTAACATCCCAATGTGATATTGCGGGGCGTCTCGATTGCCCCCAAATTTGGTGTGCAGGGCCCTCTCAACACGCCGATTCCGAAAATCACTACCTTTGGGGTAGAATTTTTCGTAATTTTTGAGTTATGCGCTGCGTAACATTCCAATGTGATATTGCGGGGCATCTCGATCGCCTGTAAATTTTATATGCAAGGCCTTTGGAGTTAAAAGGCGTAGAACGTGGCAGCTTTAGAAAGCTGCCCTAATGGCAGTGAAACCTGCGATATATTAATGCTGCTTAATTACGTGATTCTCCTTAGTTGTCCACGTGCTTGCTGCTTTCCTTTTAACAAGCTGTCAAAGATGAGGAAGTGCAGTACCGTGGGTTGGAAGGTGCCGCTGTGGGTTGCAATGAGCAACGGT